ACACACACACACACACACACACACACACACACACACACACACACACATACACTCTTACACATACTTATGAACTTATAGGAAAATAGGTTTTTAAAATACTGTATAGTTAGGTAAGAAATATTTCCACCAACATATTTGTAAGAGCTAGGAATAGAAATTCTTGGTGGAGGCAGTGGCTTTGTCAGTGGCAGCAGCAGCCCACACCTTTAATCCAGGCACTTGGGAGGCAGAGGCAGGCAGATCTCTGTGAGTCTGAGGCCAGCCTGATCTACAGAGTGAGTTCCAGGACATCTAGGGCTACACAGCGAAACCCTGTCTCAAAAACAAAAACCAACAGAATAAAAGAATTGCTTGAGTGAGAGAATCTGGGGAAAACAGAACCCCCAGAAAAAGGTGGGCAGGCTAAAGCTGATGTTAAACAGCTGCTGGACGATATTTACCGTAGGTTTACAGCCGCCCCAGGAAACAGCTGTGCGCTGCCTGTGTTTGACCAATGAAGAAACTGAATCTCAGAAGATGTGTGCCAGCTTGAGGTCAAAGCTAGGACATGGCAAAGTAAGGCCTTGATCTACAGTGTCACATTCCCTCCAGAGGTAAATAAAAGTACATTAATAAGATAAGCTTGTTAAAACCAAATGTGTGCCTTTTTTTTTCTTTTTACCATAATATTCAAATCTGGTCTATTGCTGTATTTATCATTGCCCTAATTTATTGTCTCACTGCCCATTCGAAAATATTTCATGAAGAAGAAAGATTAATTTTACTTCATTTTCCAGTTACCCACCTGATAATTTTCTTTTCCTTATATCCTGTATTTTCTAACAGTTGGTATTAAAATATAACCTTTGAATGACTTTTTAAAAAACAAAAGACTGTCCTCTAGACTCTGGTTTTTGTTGTTTTGTTTGCTTTTTGTTATTAGACACACATGCTTATAAAAAAAAACTGTGATTTCTTCCAAGGGATGGCCATCTTCTCAGATTTGGTCCAGTCTTTAATGCAGGGTTTCATAACAGGCCTAACGAAGTGTGAAAGGAATTGGACCTTTGGGACACTGTCCCCCACTGCCTCTTACCTAACCTTTCTTAGATGTTGGATTTTTAACTAGAGAATAAATAGGGTCAAACTAGGCATGAAATGAAAACTAACAAGGTCTGCCTCTTTCTCAACACTATATTTTCAGATGTTTTCATATAAGGTTTCCTCTTGAATACAAGGGCTGCATCACATAGAAAGAGTTTCCTAAATACAAGGGCTCCTGGAGATGAGGGCCCTCAACACACCTACCTGGAGTTTCTCAGGGCCTGGTACCAGGTCACTTACAGCTAAGTTAAGTTGCACCTATGTCCAAGCACTTGTTTCCAGTTCCTGGGGTCATCTCTGCTGTAGGCTGTCTGTGAGGAACATGTCGTCTAGAGCTGGATGGTGCAGGTGCGAATCCTGACTTGAGGAGCAATGAGGTAATTTTATGGTTGGGGGCCACCACAATGTGAGGAACTGTATTAAAGAGTCGCAGCACCAGGAAGGTCGAGGTCCACAGATCTAAGTGTCCTTCAGCAAGCCTCATGCCGACTCCTCATCCGTATGTTCAGAATGACTTCCCGAGTCATAGGCTGGCTTGGATGGGTTCCTTTATCTGCCGTTTCTGGGCCTAGCAATTACAAGTAAGTGTCACCTTGTGCCTTCAGAGAAGAGGTGTGAGAAGCATTCTTTATCAGCAAGTAATCAAAAGTAAAAAAAAAAAAAAAAGCTTTGTTACTATGCATGGACCACTTCCCTTCACTCTTCAACATTCCAGTTCTTTCTGCTGGGTGCGGTGCTGGGCACCTAGGTCAATGTAATGGACAAGACACATGCTTGTTCTTGTGGACTTCATGGTGCAGCAAAATGAAGGGCTCAACAGAGCAACGATTGGGGAGTGTCAGGAAACGTACAGCCAGGGTGTAACGAAATCATTGTGGGGATGATTCGGGGACTCAGCAGCAGCAGCTTCCGGGAGCTTGGTAGTTACACCTAAGCCTAGAGCCTCTGAAACCCCCTGAATCCCAAACCTGCACTGTAAAAGGACCCTCAGTGGTTCATGTGCGTGCATGTGTGTGTGTGTGTGTGTGTGTGTGCGCGCGCGTATGCGCGTACGCGCTCGCGCATAGCGAGTGGATTAAGAGTCATTCCAGCTGCTGGACAGTGGTATTACCTCTGGGCAGGAGGCTTAACCACTCTGAATCTCAGGCTTCTCTCATGTTTGACAAAGAAGAAAGGGAGGGAGAAAGGAAAGGAGAGGGGGAGGGAGAGTGAGGAGCAGAGCCATTAATAACACCTGCTTTGTATATCATGTATACACCATGGCTACTAAATATTGTGTATATACCATGGCTATGGAATGTTATCTATCTTGTATATACCGTGTCTACTAAATGTTAGATATCACATATAAACTGTGGATAGTAAATGTTATAGATCATGTGCATACCATGAATATTAAATGAAGTAGGCTGAAATTTGCATAAAACTGGGCAGCAGAATGTGGTTGACAGTTTAAGTCATTGATAAAGAGTTGGGGAGACTGTTCAGTGGTTAAAGCGCTTGCTATGTAAGCAAGGGGACTGGAGTCTGGGTCCCTGGAACCCACATAAACGCCAGGTGGGTGTTGCAGCTTGCCTGTAATTACAGCTTTGGGACGTGGAGACAGAGGAATCCCAAGAGCAATCTGGCTAGCCAGACTAGCTGTATCCGTGACCTCTGGCTTTGACTGAGAGACACTACCTTTGTGAATAGAGTGAAGGGGGGGGGTGTAAGGAGGATTACTGATATCAACCTCAGGCCAGCACATGCATGATAAAACATACACGGAGGCACACACATGCTTTCGAACATGCATAGATAGGCACACACTCGTGAAAAACTATAAAAGAGAAAAAGGAATAGCTGTGTGAGGACAGGTGACTTCAGCTCCCATCAGTGGCACCGAGAAAGGACTGTCTGTCTTCATGAATTACATCAGTATCTGTGGCATGACGTATGTGTGCAATCTGGATTGGGTAACATGTTTTTTTCTGGTGTGGATTTCTATGGCTGCTTGTAGAATTTAATGTCCACCCATGTGGCTGTAATCAAGGCTGGATTAGAGAAGACAGTGTACCTTGACTGGCTACCAAAGTATGAACTACCGTGACGAAGCATAGTTATCATGCTGCTCATTGCATAATCTCTTGGTACTGAGTCAAGTGGCCTTGTGTCCTTCCCAGGTCTGTTTCCCTGGAGAAAGCTGTCTTGAATTTGAAGAGAGTTCAGATCTGTGCCTGCAGAAACTTTCTTTTTTTGGTTTTAATTTATTTTCTTTGAGACAGGATCTCACTATGTAACTCTGGTAACCTGGACTTTCATGTATAGACCAGGATGGCTTTGAATCCACAGAAATCTGCCTGCCTCTGTGTCTGCCTCCTGAATGCTGGGACTAAAGGCATGTATCACCACACCTGGTCTGCAGCAAATTTCTTACTCATCAA